AATATTCTACCAAGCTTTGATCCTTACCATGGCATCCTATCTGGGATTGTGTCTTTCTTCCTCGGTGGGTCATGCTCTTTCAGAACAGACAGTCTGCAATTCCTCCCTTTGGCCTTCATATCCGGGCACAACTGGCTCAATCGGGTCTGGCATTGGATGACATTGCTGTCCCCAATGATCAGCCCATTCCACCATGGCTTATTATCATCTCTTCCTGTGACCTTTCCTTGAGTCATCTGAGGAAAGCGGATACTCCCGATTGGAAGTACCATCTTCTTTTTGCTCAACATCTTTCGAGCAATTCTTCTCTTCGTATTTACATGGATGGTTTGAAATCAGGTGACTCTGTAGGCTCTGTCATGGTTTGCTTTGGCTCAGTAGATGCTCCCAGGATGCCCTCTACAGTTTCTGTGTACACTGCCGAGTTGTATGCTATTTCTCTTGCCCTGGATCATGTAGAAGCTATGCATTACAGTGATTGTACTATTTACACTGATTCTCTTAGCTCTCTACTGGCCCTGGAATTGCTTAACGTTAGTTCTCACCCAGTTTTTGTCGATATTCAACAGTGCCTGGCCCATTTATCTCTATCTTCTGTTTCCATCCAGTTTTTCTGGATACCTGGCCACATCGGTATTTTTGGAAATGAGCTTGCTGACACTGCAGCTAAGTTCGTCTGCTCTGGTGGCGTCATGGCCATGCCTGTCCCATACATGGACTGTGGTCATGTCTTCAAGGTGTGGCTTCGTGTCAGTTGGCAGTCGACTTGGGATGAGCAACGTCATAACAAGCTTTTCCAGATCAAACCTTCTGTTGCTCTTTGGCCGTCTTGCTTCCATAAGGATTGGAAGGAGGAAGTTGTCCTGGCAAGGCTACGCATTGGTCACAGTTTTTTAACTCATCTTTTTCTTTTATCTGGTATTAACCCACCAATGTGTAGCCTTTGTGACACTCAAGTCACAATAGCCCACACTTTACTGTCATGCTGTCGTTACGACTGTGAGTGGCAGCACCATTTTAGACACGTGTTTTGTAAGAGTTTACCCCTGACGTTGGACAGTGTCATTGGCAATGGTGACACTGTCTGACTTGATTGTATTTTTAATTTTTTAAGAACGATTGGCCTTTTTAATTGCATATAAATCTCTTATCCGAATTTTGTACTTATTTTAGTTTTAAATTGCTGTGTTTTAACATTTTAATATATATATATATTTTTTTTTACTGTTTTTATTGGTTGTTTGGCGCTGATAGCCTCGGTGCTTTGTGCCATAAAACACCAAACAACCAACCAATCAACTGATGCATAATTAACTTTCCTTGGAGCTAATATCTCCTGCATTGGAAACATTACATCTCTATTATGCAATAAAAGAAAGGACTTTCTTGAGTGGATTATTTTGCTATACATCTATAAGCTAGAAATGGTAATGGAACCTGTTCATCTTATGTTTTCTAATCTCATTCACAATATTGTTATGTTACAAAGTGTTTAAAAATATTCTGTTGAATCTTACTAATCCATTAGCATTTGGATTGTGTATTTCTCTATGTTCTTTACACCTAATAATATTTCTTTCTTTAATTTCCAAATAAAATTTGATTTACGAATACTTTTGCTATATTTACTGTTTTTTTATCAGGTAAACTTATTACCTCTGTAAATGTGGTTAAATAGTCTGAAATATCTAATATGTATTTGTTTACAAAGTATGGTGTCCACAAAGGACTTAGAATGTCCATGAATATCATTTGAAATGGCATGGTTGAGCTAGGCATCCTCTGAAAAGGGACATTCCTTAAATGTGAACTTGTTTTATGTTTTTGATATTTGATAAGTAATTAATATTCCTTCTCATGTTCTGCCAAAATAATCTCTTATTTATTTTACTATATGTTTATGTTTTCACAAATGCTGAATATGCAGCAAATGGTTACTTTTTGGGTCTCATTTTACACCTTCCATGCTTACATTTAGTCTTTTATAATTCCTATTTTATTTATATTACTTTGTATAAACTTATTTTTAAAACCTGATTTATGTTTGTGTACTCTAGCTACTTTTTTATGTTGCTAATTTCACCTACTACCATATTCTTAGGCAACATTACTTTGCTTTCATTTATGTTTAAAACCCTTACAAGTACTGTATGTGTCTCGCTCATACACTTTACTTTTACATGTAGTAGCTTATATATTGAGTTCTACTATTTCTGTGGATTCAACTAATATCTTATAATTTCACTTAAAGTACATTATCTTCAATAACAACCTGACATATCACCAGTATCTTTATAATCGTAATTAATCTCATTGGCACACATTCTAACAGATTCATTTCTTGGGATACTCTGTTGTCTATTGTAGGTGTAGAATCATCTGAGGGATGTGTTTAGCAAAGATGCACTTAGCAAAGATGATCTAGCACTTGTGTCAACTTGTAATTGACATTCACTACCTCATTGACATTATACATCCTTGATCTGTTATTATCTACTACCAGAACCACTTTTAGTTCTTATTTGTAATTGTGGATTGAAGTAGGTTTTTTGTCACTTCTCTCATAGCCTTTACGAATTTCTTTCTAAAAGTTCCAGTCCTAAGCATATTGTTACGTATCTACTTGTTTGTTAATTCCCAGTAGAAATTCTTTCCGAGGAACTTCAGCGATACAAGTTCTTTCTTGATTAAACCTGTTTATTCTTTCTCAATATAAACTTTTAGTACACAGAAAGTCCACAGTTAGTATGTTTCTCTTGACTTTAAACTTAACAACTCTTATAATACACACTATAAATCACAGCGATTGACAATCTCGATAACTTTGCCACGAGTGCAAAACACACACTTTATATTACCCGAAAAACCATAACTACTATTCGCTTCATTAATTATATGTCTATCGCTGGCTTCTCTGCCAGGCTTATATACCAACGAAGGGGGCGTCTTGAATACTCTCGGGCCTCCCTAATTATTCATGATCAATCGAGAAATTCATCACGTGTCACCAACGTCACCAGGCTCATAAACTTAGATTTCTCAAAGCTCTTTCCTAGTAGCTACTTTTAATAAGTCTAACAGCATTGCTCATGAATATCTGCTTCTTTTACATTTAGCCTAATTAACTTTTTTTCCCTATGAATACCCTTTTCTGCACATGTCACTACCTTTTTACAGAAATACATTCAAAATTCAATTAAGCTACTTTATTATCAATGTATACAAATAAACTTGGCATCAAAATATACTTAATAAATCAAATTTTAATATTATTTAAGTTTTAAGTTCTTAACTTTATAAGGAAATATTTAAAACAATCCTCAATCTCCTCTAGTATGAGAATTGTGACATTTCCCCTCTCCCTAATTTATTTACCACCCCTCCAAGAAGTGTGGAATTTAACATAAATTGCTTATTATAATATAGTTATTACTCAGGAAAATCAAAATTTTTAATCTTCAATCTTATTTGTTTACAGAACCTTAAACTAGAAAATCAGACCCACTTGCCATGCCCACCTGTCACATTCCCTCTTTCACAAATTGCAAATAGTTCTCTCTAATATTTAATACTATATTATTTCTAATCAGTAGAAAGCCAGAATTTCAATATATCAAATGACATATTGTATTACAATGTTTTCTGTATGGAGAATTGTCTATTTTGCTTCCAGTTCAACCTTTATTCCCTTGGGAAACATATCGACAAGCTTAGCTGATTTTTTTAATGGTTCTTATCACAAAGAAAGCCAGATAAATTATGATATTTATAGAACATTGTCTACTTGTATTATTATTTTGTGTTCTTAAATGCATTATTTCATTAAATAAAAAATTATTTAGTGAAGTTGTACCATTAGTATTAAAAAGTAGGGTTAAGTTTCAACAACAGTCAAGAGCAAAAACAAAAAAGAAGACCCAGGTAAATCCTATATTTCTTGTTTTTCATGTATATTCCATATATATTATTATAAAAGTAACTAAAATGTAAAAGTTAGAAACTTAGTAGGTTAGATTAGATGAGATGATGATAATTCTTTACAAGGTATGCTTGCGAGCAGCTCATGCATTACAGTAGCATGAGCTGCATGTTTGTCAAATTATTTACAACTTGTGTGGCAAGAGTATTAGTTAGACATGGTTTAAAATTAAGTATAAATTGATGTATACTTTTATGAGCTTTAAACTATTCAGGATAAACAGTTGTGATTACCTGTTGCAATTTGCAGTCATTCTAGACACAAAAAAGGGTAACTTAGATTTATTTTCAATTTTTATGGTGGTTACAAGGTTGGTCAAACCAACCAACTCTGTATAAAATTAAGATAAAGAAAATAACAGATGAAACAAAGTTTTTCTGAAAAAAAACATTTGATATTCATTTATGAAGTTTTAGAGATTACACAAATGGAATTTGACAATTTTCAGATGATGAAAAGCATTTTTAATCTTAACAAGAAAATCACTTTGAACTTGGAGGAGTCAACACTCTGGCTCCATATCATTGACAAAGTTGTAATGAAAATACCTAAAAATTCTAAATATTTGTCTACAAAAGACTTTTAATGTTTAACGAAAGCTTACCAATTTTCATGAAGATATATTAAGTATTTTCAGAGTTAAACTATATATACCACCATGGTTATAAGGTTGTGTAAAATAGAGGAGACTGTCGCACTAAGATTGTGGATTCTCTTCATTCCCATTAATGATTGTTTCTATCTGGCAGAGTGGACTTTCCATCATAATGTGCAAAGATATGCTGTGGCTGCATTGTTAGCTATCACTGATAAGCATAATGCCAGTGTGATGAATTTGATTATGTTTTTCAACTGTTAATTAACTCATATCACTGTCTCTTCAGCTTCAAGATTCTATTTGCCTCCTGAAAGGATACTCCAAACTAGGTGTTTTGAGCTTTCAAATTTAGTTATATCATGTGTGTAAATAAATACATGGTACATTATATAATAAAGTTAACTATCTATTTTTTTTTACTAGGTATACACATGTTCTTTAAGTAAGTTATATGAACAAGAAATCACATGGTTTTTTGAACAAGCTCGAGAGAATATATCTGGAAAGTTACCATTGGAAAAGGATAAAAAAGGTGTGGTATTATAGCTCTGAAATTTTAAGAAATTACACTTACTAGAAATTTGAAGAAGCTATGAAAAAATATTTTAAAGAAGTATGTCTTTGTTAAGACTTCCGAGATTTACAGTTTTCATATAAAAGCTATTATAAAAGTAATTATTTTCTTTTTTATAAAGCCTTTGTTTATATTTTAAATAAAGCTCAATTTGTAAGTGCTTAGCCCTTACACTTTTTCTTTCCAGATGTTTGATGAATTAAACTTTAGGAAATAGATATTACAAGAGTATATACATATATATATATATTGCTACATAACATTTGTTTAGATTGGTAAAAATAACAATTATGAGAATAGATAGTACAGAAGGTTTGTCTGCATTTTGACAAAATAATAGCCTGATCATGGCTTTGTAGACCATGTAGTTTTTGAAACACCATGTATCATGTCCAGACTTTCCTGAGATGAAATAAAGGATAACAACTTATAATTTTTAAATTCGGCCTTTGGACAAGTAATGCTTAAGAAGTAATAAGTTAAAATGTTGAGTTTTATCCTTAATCATGCTGTTGTTTAATAATACTTATATATGCATGTGATTCTTTGTTACTGATCTTTATTTTAGTATGTATAGCCTGTTATCTTTTCAAAGCAGAATCACAATCCAGAAATCCAGAAAATATTTGGTCCTGCTTATGTTTCTCTCCTGAGATCACATTAGTCATTTTAATCCACTTTTATTAAAGAATAGGGGGATAAAGAGTTTTTTAGGCTTCTTCATGTAAAAACAGGGAATCTATAATGTCAACAAACAGTGTTTATGCTGATAAAAAGTACATTCACACCAGGTTGGTTTAGCTCTAAAATTATGTAAGACTTTCTTTCTGAATTGTTCTTTCTCTGTCAGCAAAATCACTTTTGGTTCTGAATGTCTTTGACACAGTGCATTACATGCGTAAACTTACCCAAAGTTCTCTTATATCCAACTTCCACATGACTTATTGCATAAGTGCTAGGAAAACTACATAGCTCTCTCTGGTTTCTCACCAAAAAATATGCTGTAAACTTTGTGACTTCGTTTGCTTTGGTTATGAATTCAGCAGTTGTTATTAACCAGAATGTTAACACTTCAGTTAATACAGGAAATTCTACAACTTTGTATTTTTTGGTCTTCTTCTTCACAGAATTTTTTTCTAGTTTGCAAGAAGTTCTCATGGTTGCATTGTTAGTTCTCATTGATCAAGATATTGGGGATTTTAATGCTGAATCTTCTGTTAGCATCATAGTTTGGTTTTTCCATTGTGGATCATTGCCTTTTTTTCATGTTGGAGAATAAGCCTGATCTTTTGCCCAGACCTGTTTGCCTTCTTTGACTAAGAAGCAGGAGTTATTTGCTAGTCTTTGTCTTGATGAAGCTTTACTATTTTAAATCTTCAACTAATTTATTTTATGCCTGAGAATACTCTTGTTATGTTAGGTGATTTTTTTGAATCCTTGTACCTTCTACGTTATCTTGATATTTGGGTTGTTGCTAATTCCTTCATAAATCAGCAGGATGTTAATGTTTTCATGTTTCTTACAATCATTATGCAGGTAGCCTTTTAGTGGTGTTGACTTCTACAACTAATTTTTCTTCACAATTTTAGATCCCATATCATTTTTTGGGGTTGAGCTTTTCCATATGGCTTATTGCATGCCTCTTCATCAATTTAGTTCTTTTTTCTTCAGAATAGTTATTGGTTATCAGCTGCTCTCATGCACTTCATTTCTTTAATCAGGATCAGTGTTCACTTTGTGTGTGTGTGGCTCTCACTAGTTTAGTATTTGTTATCATTTTTCCTTGGACACACTAGAACACCATGTTGTGTTGCAACTTGCTTGTTCCCAGTCATGCTTTCCCATATTTCAATAGACCTTGAAAGGGCCTTTTTGCATTTTTGTTTTTTGCTGGAATTTCCCCTAATAATGTTTCACATTTAGGAAAGGTGTGCACCAGTAGGAACTTCTTTGGGTTGTAGCTTGTTTTTTTTCCTGTTATTGAACCATTTTAAGATGTTTGGCAGGTAGTAGTTGTCCTCCTGCCTTGTCTTCTTTTTTTGCATTTCAGTGTTTTGCATCTGCTTCTTTTGTTACAATTGAATTTAGCATATAAACAAGTGAGATGATTCTACTTAAACTACTCAGCTACTTTCTTAATTCCAGATATACCCTCAGTCTAGGTTGTAGGATCATCTAGGTTAATTTGCTCATTTATGAGACCACTTTGCTTCTGGAACCTTGAGCTCAAAATATTCTTCAGTGTTGTCTTTTTCCTTTACTTTTGTTTTCTACCTCTTCTTTATTTTCACTCTTTATCTTTTCCATTTCCTTCCAATCCAGTTTGACTGCAAACATTGGATCAGAAGGTTTCAGTTCTCTTATAAAACAGTAGGAGCTGTTAGAGTTGTTCACCACATGTCTCCATTCTTTTTTTGTTGTTTCGAAGAAATCTGAAGATTGGAAACTGTGATAGATCTGTCTCATCTCAGTTGTTTCTTGGTGATTCCTTTTTATAAAATGTAACACATGAGAATCTTATGAAAATTTTTGAAGAAAATGCTTGATTACAAGGGGGGGGGGTATCCAAGATTCTTATATTCATATCATGATTCATTCATCATCTCACTATTTTGTGTTCTTATCATCAAGAGGAAGTTTAGCAGTCCTGAGCCCTTCCATCTGGCCTGACTTTGGCTCCATACATTTCTTGTCAGTTAGTCAAGGTCTTAACCAGTCATCTCTGTTCATATCACTTGATATTGACTTATGCTTTTGTCTAGACCACTTCTTCTTTCTTTGTCTTTGACTCAGCCTCTGTCACACACACACACACACCAATTGACCAATCAGTTTGCAATATATCTTGAGGGATTGTTCACAATGCTAAATCTCATTTTGTACAACTCTGTATTTGATCCATCTTGGATTTTGGATCAGTACACTTCAGAGGATACTTCAGCCATCTCCTAGGGCACTTCTGGCCTTGGAGATTCTGGTGTTTAAATTTTGGTTTTCTACACCTACTGCCGAAAAACATTATTTTAGCTTTGGGGACAATGGCTTACCTTGGATCACATTCATATGCGCTACCTCCAGTAGGATCTTGCTTCCTAGTAGTTTTTGACCATAAATCTGTCTCAGCATGTTTAACTTTGAGCCTATCACTTTTCCGATGTGATCAACATTTTGGCACTTTCTCTTTTTCAAGATTATTGGCTCCTCACAGAATGGACTCTCCATCTTTTAGTTTTTCAATGGTTATTGCAAATTGCTGGGATTGTCCATTGATCAGTGCCTTCACAGTGGTGGTCAACCATCTTTTTTCCACTCTAATAGCTTCCAGTCCTTGATCCAGCCTCACTGACACTTTGGATGGCCTAACCACTATAACAGGCTATAAAGCTAACTTATCAGGCACATTTTTATGCCATGGGAGTCACCAATCTCTTTTATCTCTGTTGTTTACAGATTTGCCCTGAGCTTTTGTCTACAATGTCCCTGAGCTCTTAGATACTATTCAAAGGGCTTAGTCTTCTATTTCTTAACTTCTCCTTTTAAGCCCTTAGTGACTTGTTGCTTTTCCTCAAGACACATTCTTTAACTTTTGCTTTCATAGAGTAGGAAGTGTTCAAATATCTAAGGGTTTATGCATCATGTATTTTCTTGAAAAGTTCTGTATTCATATCCAGATGAACCTTCTCCCTAAGATATGGTTGCAAAGGAAATTAACTACTGTTTTTTACTTATTGTGTTATCTGTCCTGACTGATTCCAAATTCTCATTCAAGGGATCACTTTTTCTGTCCCATTAGGCTTTTCATTTTTATCTAACATGCATTGAATCATTTGAAGATCCTGGAAAGGGTTGTATTTCATACCTTAGGACTAACCACACTTATCAGGTCTTGCTCCAGCAGTATTTATAAATAAGCTGTTGTACACAGTCACCTTAAGAGAAAACTTCAGATTTTAACTTACCAAATTTGATATTTGGTGCCCATTGGAGTACATCTTTTAACATTCACTTGTGTCACATTGCTCTTTTTTTCAGCTTTAGGATTCTGTTTTCCTCCTGTTGTGATACTCCAAACCAGGTAGAATCCCTAACAGGTAAATTACAGAGTGACAAAAAAGCTATTTAATTATTTTGTGAAGCAACAAAGTTCTTGGTTATGAAATAATACAAATTACTTAAATGAAACAAATAACATCACTTACTAATTCTTCATACTATAATTTTTATGACACTCATTGAACATGGAGTACTGAATATACTACACAATTTTATCTTTTATGATCGAGCTGCTGCTTTGCTCTCTTAGAATGAATTAAATACTATTCAAAAGGGGCAGTTCTTCACAAATATGATAGCCTTTCACTTGTGGTATTCTCAGGTAAAACTGTGCCCAAGAGATAAGTATTAAATCCATATATGAGAGGTTTGAGTAGAAATGTATTTCAAAAAGTGAAACAAACAGTAGAGTATTATATAAACTGGACTTTTACATTTGGAAATAGCCATCTTTTATGTCATTTATAATTATCTTGAAAATGGCTATGTCTATACCACAATTTCAAACAGATCAAAGTATTTTGTCCTTCAATTCTAGATTACTTACAACAGTGATCTTCTGGCTGTAGATAGTAGGGGGTGGTTAATTCCCAGGTAATACTAACTTTGTATGAACCTGTGTACCATCTCACTTCTTAAGTATGATTCATATTTCTGAAATTTGGTCAAGAGATATGAGCTGTACATAATTCCTACTGTAGTATGTAACCTTAACTTGAGACAAGGATAAAGGCAAGTTTATGGCTACTTACCTCTTGTTCACAAGATCTTAACTAAATGTAGAGCATCTGCATAAAATATTTTTAAAAAAGCTTATACATGTACCTGAATAATAAAGCTATACATTTCCCTAATTATGGAAGAGTAAAATGTGGCAGTTTTCTAGTGCCACACTCCTATACCTTCACACCATATATTGTACAGTGTATGTAGTTTTAACTATAGAACATTGGTCAAGGAAGTCTGTATTCCTTTTTTGCCCTAGCTACCTATTTTTCTTGGTTATTTGCAGTACTGTGAAAAAGTGTTAGGATGAGAGAATATTTTGTCATTCTTTTTAGTCTATGGGGCTAATTCTTCCATGTCATTATAGAATTTAAATTTCAACACTATGATAATGTTTCACTAATCCCTGTTGACAATTGAATGAGCCAGGATGAAAATACTTATCATTCTTTAGAATTCCCATACACTTGTACCAAGGGCATGTCATAAGGGTTCTGCTTGATTGAACATACTGATCAAATTTAGGGGCTGAAATAACTGTCATGGTACCCCATGCAGTGCCTTAACTATAAAAAGAAGCTAGCAAGGAGATAGCATATGATACTGGTATATGCTAGAATAAATCATTTTAAACTCCACAAATAAACCATTGATAAAAACAGTGTTTAACACTATATATTAAGTTTCGTTGTCATGCCATGGCCCAAAAACCATTGAGAATTGTCAGTAGAGCAGATAGTTCATATAAAAGCGTTACCTGATGCTGGTTGGATTCTTCGACAAATTGCTCCTGAAACGCTGTTTAGTACACCCTAGATTATGAGACCTAGACAGGTAAATTTGAAAATAGGAAAAGAAGAGGCAGAACACCTAAACTCAAAGATACTGATGTTATGTATCTTTGTTTATGTAGCCTTCAGGACAGAAGGAAAACTGTCACTGATCTCAAGCATGAGATAAATGACCATGTACCAAATGACAGAAAAGTGTCCAGATTTATGGTATCAAGAAGTTTCAATGAGAATGGAATATTTGGTCATGTAGCAGTTAAAAAAACCTTTACTTTGATCTCCAGATATTGTCAAGAGACTGACATTTGCTAAAAAGTACAAAAACTGGACTGTTGATGATTGGAAAAGGGTGTATTGGATGAATGAGCCCAAGTATGAAATATTTGGTTCAAAGTGTAGGTTGTACGTCCAGTGGAAGGAAGGTGAAAGATACTTATCTCAATGCATAGCACTTACCATGAAGCATGGGGGAGGCAGTGTGATGGTTTGGAGGTGTTTTTCTGCTGAGGTGACAGCAGATATTTGCAAAATAGATGGAATAATGGATCAGTGCAAGTTCCATCAGATGCTGATCCATCATGGTATACCCAGTGGTTTATGTATTATTGGTAAAGGATTTTACTACCAAGAAGATAATGATCCCAAACACTCATCCAACCTATGCAGAAAGTACTTAGCTAAGAAAGAAGTTGCTGGAGTCATTCAAATGATGCAATGGCCCCAACAGAGCCCCGATCTCAACCCAATTGAGCATATCTGAGATTTGATAGATTTACAAATCAAAAGCTACTTTCAAAGAAACTTTATGGGTGTGTATTAGAGACGCATGGAGTAAAATCCCAAAGGATACTTTGATTAAATATGTTTCAACAATGCCTGAAAGACTGCCTGCATTTATTAAAGCAAAAGGGGATACACAAAATATTAACTGTTTGCTGAACTCAAGCACATCCACTGAGTTTCTGTTGTACTAAATATGAAGATTAATATTAATTTGATGTTTCACCTGTGATTTATCTTCCATTGTTCTTTAAAAGTAGCATAAAATCTAATTTTTGATTTTGTCCTAACACTTTTGCACAATACTATAGCTTTGGTAGCACATGTACTTTCTCATGGTAAAGAATTCTGTAAAGTTAAGTACTGTGTAAAAGAAGGCAACCATCTTTTCCACTGGTTGATCATATGATACCTTGAAAATATAACCTCCCTTATTCTTCGATGAACAACAGTTGTGTGGGTAGTGCATGCAACCTGAGAGGAATAGCATTATTGTTTTCACGTATATAATGCTATGTTTTCTCTGTTTAGAACACAATGCTGACAAAGGCTACCCAGCTGATGACCTAAGGCAGTGTGATAGAAGCTTTTCGTGTTTTGCCTGTTAATCATAGTTGAGAGTGTTATTAATTGTAATTTGTACTGAAGATTTTTAGCAACTCTTCTCATACAAGTTGTTACATAATTGGCAGTTTTCCCCCAACTTCTAGACAATATTTCTGAATGCTCTCAAACCTCCAGTAAAAGTACCATCTTAAGTCAATGCATTCACTTTTATTGTTTTTGTGTTAAAATAAAGATTGTTTCATTTGACTTTCTTCATGTCTAGTCTATTTCTTTGTTCACAACTTAGTCAAAAGTTGGGGAATACAGTTTAACTTTGCATAAAATTTCCTTTTAAACCTCCTGTTACGACAGCGGAAGTCATGTGATGCTGCTGATGAGTTTCTCTAATGATCAGGGAAGTCCAGAGACCCTCTTCGTCAGTATATAAGCCTGGCAGAGAAAGCCAGCATATATAAATGAATGAAGAGAGAGCATTAGTTACTTTGAGTTCCATGTAATTTATGATTCTGTTAGTTTTGAGCTAGTGAGCCGCAAAGTGTGTGTTTTGCACTCATCAAAGCGAAGTTATCGAGATTGTGAATCGCTCTGATTTATAGCGTGTGTTATAAAAGTTGTTAAGTTTAAAGTGATGAGAAACATACTGATTATGGAACTACTGTGTTCTAAAAGTTTGCATCAAGGAAGAATAAACTGGTTTAATAAAGAAAGGACTTGTATCACTGAAGCTCCTTGGAAAGAATATCTATTGGAAACAAACAAACAAGCAGATACGTAACACTCCCTTATTTTATGGAACCTAACCTTTACTGTCAGGGAAATCGGTGCACCTGAAAATTTCCACAAAATTGTTTAATTATCATTACCCTTTTCTTATATAAGTTTCGGAGTTTAAAGGTTTTTATGTAATTATTAAGGTATTTAACACAACTTTAGCTTAATTTTAAGAAATATTTCAACTATCAATGATTTTATTAAAATATTTCAGTTGACATGATCACAAGGAAATTTACAAAACAACCTAAAAATATTATGCTAGACTCAATAATTTCCAGACTCAATGAGTCTAAAAGTGAGAAGCTTTACAAAATTACACAATTTAAAAGCCATATAAAAAATGTTTTTTTTTTTTAGATTATAGTTTGTGCTTTTTAGTGAGTTGAACAGTAAGCAGATGCTATGCAGATAGGATTTATTTTAAGTAAGTTTACTATTAATGATGTGCTGTATTTGATAAATAATCTGAACCAGTGTAATATTGGTGTGTCTGTAAATTTTGTAGACAGTTTACCAAGAAAACTTTTCATCCAATTTTTAACTTACATGATTATTACCTTACTGTCCATAATGGTAAAACACCTTTTTTTCTTCAGCATCATTTTTTAGAACTGAAGTTTTAGTCTCACCTCACCTATCCAGTTTAGAACAACCTCCAAATCATGGTTGTAGGTCTTGGAAAGTACTGTTTGTGATGCATTGCTGTTCTCTAATATTTGGGGTTGTCAGTAGAACATCCTGGGTCATTGGGTTTCAGACTTTTTTTTTTCTTATGGATATTTTCACAAGCCAAAAACAGTCATGAGATTCCCCATATTTAAATAGGTTTATGTGCAGAATAAAAGATAAATTGATTAATGCTGCAGTTATGTTCCAACTGCAGTAGCTAAGACTTGATGTATATTGGTTGGTTTCCATAAGTATATATTGTTATCCTCTTTACATATGCTGTGAAATCAGAAAATCTTTAAACAGTGTACTTTGAGAACAGTAGCTAGATATTTATCATGGAATATAAATATTTAGGAACCAAGTATCTTTAGAATTCTATAGTTTGACAAATGTTCAGATGAAAGCATTGTAAATTGTAAACTTTCACACTATTAAAGCATTAGTAGTGGTTTATTTGAAAAAAGCAACAGTTTGTAATTTATTGAAGTAGAATTTTTACATTTATTTTGTTTTGATTTCATGCAAATTATTTACTTCTTAGGTCGACTAACAGGCTCAAGTCAAGAACTAGTGGTCAAACCTTTGGGAAAACCCCGTTCATCATCACTGTTAGGTAATGATCCTGAACATTTTGGTTCTGATCTAGACTTGACAGAGAGAGAATTATTTGATAAAGTAAGTGTTAGTTTTCAGTTTTTAATCTTTTTTTTGTAAAAGGTAACTTAGAATATTATGATTCAAATTAAACCAAGAGTTTTCAGCTTGTTTTTTTTAATATATGCAAAAATATGTTAGGTTATGATATGATACCAAGCAATATTGTTTTTTGTTTTTTTAATTATGTTAAGGAATCCACGTAGTAGTATTCCAATTACTGATGTTCTGTAGGTAGATAAAGGTAAAGAATTAAATTAAATGTCTTCTGATTTAAATATTTAACCTGCAAACAAAAGGTGCTTATTGCCTAAAAAACATTAAAAAGAAAGAGTAATAGTGAATTTTATTGGTAAAAAAAGGGTTTTTTATCTGATTGTTTTTGTATTCAATTGTAAGTGAATGTTGAAAAGCCAACTAAAGTAATAAAGTATTAAAAAAATTGACACTGTAATTATGTCAAAAGGGCAGAAAATTACTATGAACATTATTTAGATATCTTTTTATAAAAAAATACAAGATGTAAATTCTGACACAAGTTGATAAAAAGTGTTGGTGGTCACGATTGTATTTTTAAGGTATCATTTAACTTGCCTGTGGAAAAGATCGCTTCTGATTGTACATAGTATGACTTACTTCACAGAATTCTTTCCCAAGAGAAAACACCTCTGATACAATAGATGAATGACCCAGAACGTAAGATAACTAGGCTGAAATTAACCCAAAATTCTGTAGTTAAAAACTACATATGCTTAGAAGAAATAAAATTTTGAAACATTTGTATAAAATTAGGAATGTTCTCATGGGTTCTTGGAAATCTGGAAAACATATGATTTCAAAAATAATTTTCAAGACCTGAAAAGTCATGGAACCTAGCATTTTTCTTTATATATGCCAAAAACCCATAGAAAATAGTGAATCCAATCAAGAACAAAATCTCTGTGTTTTAGTAAATGAAAAAGCTAACTTTTAAAGAAAATATATTTTTAATTTCATTAACCCTTTAAACACAGGTACACCTTCATACATCTTTTTTATGCAAGTCACTAAGTAACATTCAAAATTTAACTAAACTTTCCTGTCAATAAAATTAACATTATAATGTATGTTCTAATTCAAATTTTTTTCTTATCTAAGCTTAATTCCTTTGTGTCAAACAAAACCTTTGAAAAAATACTTTAATTTCAGTTTTGTTGTCACATGACCTATGAGCTGTGAAAAATGTCAACCTTCACAGTCTTTTCTCCTAAATCAGATAACCCCAGTCCTATAGATGTATGCCTAGACAAAAACTACATTTACTGTGCTATTTAATCATATGTTCCAAAGTTCTTTGGCTGAGTTAAGTTAAAACAATAAAATATTTTCCAACCCCTGACATGCCTTGCCAACCTTCTATACGTAGCCTTGAGATTTACAAGCTACATGTACTTATTTGATGCACATATTTATAACCGTTAGAAAGAGCTCATTTTACAACTATAATCCAACAATAGTTATTTTGAAATTGGTGCTCAGTTGTCATTATTGGGTAGATGAAACTGTAGGTAGTATTGTTGGTGTTTGATCCTTGATAGCACTTACGATTGTTTCTTACCTAAGTATGTTATAGTTAGAGAGAGAGTTAAACTTTATTCAGGTTTTACTTTTATATCTTAGTTAATTATGTATTAACTAAGATAATACTAATTACAAACTGTTGCTTTTTTTAAATAAACTACTACTAATCCTTTAATAGTGTGAAAGTTTACAATTTATTTTAAAAATAAGTCTCAAACTTTACCTAAGTTCTCAAGGCTTACGATCTTACACAAGTGCAAGATAGTTTTATTGAAGGCTTGGGCATCTTTGCTGAAGATACTGTAATATGTCTCTGGGGCACCATTGACTTGTGTCAGTATGAATAATAAACTGTAAAGGACAGGAAAAGAAAAGAAACTATTAAAAGATAACTTTATGTGAAAAGGAAATAACATGAAATTATGAATATAACCAAAAGAATATCTTTTAAGATATTCTACTAAAAATGAAAAGTATGTACATTTTTTATTTCTTAATTTTAAACATTTCATTGGACTGTATGTTGATGATAATAGCTAGAGTTAGTGATGTGGTAGAGAAAAATGAAAAATATAATATAAATGTTTACTTCTAAAAAATTTAATATTCATATAGGAGGTTCTAGAGATTATGCATATGAAATATGAAAACTATGAGATGAAGAAAAGTATTTTTAAACTTAACATGAAAAACACCTTGCACTCAATTTGTTAAGAGTTTGAGTGCAAGCAACTACAATAGATAACTATAATATTTTTAGTAAAAACACTCAGTTAAAATAATGTCAATCTTTTTGTACAAGATACTTATGATCTTTAAGAAAATCATGCCAGTTTTTGAGATGATATGTAGAGAAATCTCAGAGTTACCGCATGTATTATTGTACGAGTGTCCTTCAACAATTGGGCTCCAGCAAATTGCAGGAGACTGTTGTGAAAGGGTTTAATAGTGCGTACAAACAAAAAAAGTATTTTGTCTTGTGAAATATTGGTAATGAGTCAAGTATCTGCTTCACTACCTTCTTGAACCAAACAAGTAATAATTGATACAGAAGTATTGCAAAGCACCTTTAATTCTCAGTCTGCTTAGTTGTATACAGAAACCTTCCTGAAATCATAAATAGATTCATGCAGTAGTTAACTAAGCTGTTGAGAAGTTGAAAAGTCATTCAGCTCTATTCACTTAAAACTTGCTTTAGAGAAAAAAAGTTTTTGTTTATGTTTAAGTGCAAGCTACACAATGGGCTATATGCACTGTGTCTACTTTTAGTATTTAACCCCAATTGTTAGCATTATAAGCCCTTAAGCTTACCACTAAGCCACCAGGAGGCTAAAAGAAAAGGAATATTAGTAAAAATTAAAGGCAATGGAAAAGGAAATAAGAATCATTAAACTCATAGTGTTTTGATTATTGGTGTACTTGTTGAAAGTGTACCATTTTACAAATGTGCTGGAAATACCTTTGGTAAGTGTCAATTTTAATGATTATGTGAACACTATATCTCATTCAAATTGACAAAGAACATAGACTAATAACATGAAAAAGTAGACAACTTCTCCTAAATCTCAAAATTTGCCTGGCTTTCTGACTATCCAACAAGAGCTGTTACACATTCATTCAAGCTAGTTGTTAACTTTCCCATGGGAATGAAGCTTGTACTAAGAGTGAAATTGATGCTTATTTATTCAGAACACATTATACAATACGTCATTTGATGGATGAAAACCTTGATTTTCTATTGGTTATAGGTAATATATAATTAAATGTAAGAGAGAACTATTAGCCTGAAAGAGAGGATGTGGCAGGAGAGGTGATTTTCTAATTGATATCTCTGTAACCAAACAAAATTGAAGGCTTTATAATTATGGTTTGTCTCAGCAATGATGATTTTATCATGAATAATTTATGTTTAATATCATACTTATGGAGGGGTGGTGGATAAAATAGAGAAGAGAAGATGCCTAGAGAAAGCGTTATGTGTGTAACACTAGGGGATGTTTAGGATTTTTTTAAATATTTTCTTCTAGAATTAAGAACTTAAAACGTATACTATTAAAATACAGATTATTAGCTAAGTGTTTATGCCATAGTAATTGATATAAGATGAACAAAAAAGTAGTTTAATAAAATATTGAATGTAAGACACTAAAACCTTGTGTGCACAGTAAACCTCATGCACAGTAAAGGATGCCTGTCACAAAAGTGTTAACCAATCTCAAGGTACAGTAATTAATAATTTCATTAAAGTTAATAAGAGACTTTATTCTAAACCAAATTCTTTTGTATATTTACTTATTTGTATGCTATTCTTAAAATAAATAAATGTCTAATTAAATTTAGATTTGTTT